GAGCACTGAAGTCTCATTCTCTTCACTAAAAAAGTCAATTTTTAGGCCTCCTCCAAAAACCATATACTGTAATTCCAAGCAATCTTGAGAGCTAGTTACTTTATCCCACTGAAGTATTATATTCTAGTAGAATAGATTGAGAGTTTTAGCCAGGTTCTCCCATTTTTTGACCAAACAAAGTATATGATGCCCATGGTTCTGAAGGATTTCTTGGGATAGAGAGAATGCCTGGTAAGGACAACAGTCAACTGCATTAATAGTAAGTCTCACCTGATTTCAAAATCAATATTGGATTCATAGGCTGGAAAATTGTGTGTTCCCAATGTCCCACACTGCAGCCCTTGTTCCAGCAATCTCTTGGCAGGAGCAATTAGCCGAGGCATTGCCATTGTAATTTTCAGGAAGGATAGGAGATGTGGCCCATGGAAACCATACATGTCTGAAATGAGGAGAAAAGTCTTGGGGCATTTTAAAAAAGAAAAGCTTTATTTAAAAACTATCACTGCCAACTTATCAAATCCCCATCTCTTATCCAATCAATGTATATCAATGACGTTCATCAATGGCTTTCATATTTGCTCCTTGTTCCTTCTCCCTGCCTCCTGAAACTTTGCACATATGAGTAAACTACTCAAATAGTAAATTCAAAAAAGTTACTAGTCCACAGAAAAAGAAAACAAAACATAGCTTTTGTAAAAGTTCCATATTTAGTGCTTGAAGGCACAGAGGAAAAATTAGAGTGGATTGATTCCCTATTTTGGAACTCTTAAAGGCTTTTATGATTTATCATACAGGCACTTCATTCTAATCTAATTATACACAATCATTACAACAGCTTTGGGGAGCAGCAATGAAAGCAACGTTACGGTGATTCAGTGTGAGAGCACAACACTGTTGTTGCTACAATTGAGTTGTGATTTTAAGGCCCAGCAAATACCCCATATCTAGATCTAATCCAACTCCTTGTCATCCAGAGAGGATGCCTGTACACACACTCTTCACAAATGCTCACTCTGCTTTTTGCAGATTTCCACTGCCAGTACGGCTTGGCTCAAACCATCCTTGTTGGACCGCATGTCCCGGATCACAGCTGTATTCAGTTCCCGCTGAAAGTCAGCCAGGTTCTCTGCTTGGAATCCTGGAGGAAAAACAGAGGGAGTGGGAAGTGAATGTTCTTGCAAGGATCAAGTTCAAGACAGCCCTTCCATCAACCATAAACTTTTACTCACCAGGTGGGGCAGGCACATAGAAATAAGGAGCAAAGCCATGGATATGACAGCAGACACTGTTGCCAGCTGCAGTGACACCAAACATTCGCAGGACAGGTACAGGACCTTGGGTACATCCTGGGAATCCAGGGATGTGAGAGCCTGACTCAGGAACAGAAAGAGAACATATTACTTGATGAAAAAGCAATATTGTATGTTTCTCCAATAAAAAAAAAATCCAGAGTGTCTTCTCATTATTTAGCTTCTATGTAAAATAAAAGTACAAATAGGAGTTCAAGGCATGCTTCAGGCTTCACTTGCTACTTACAAGCTGATTGCCTATAGATGTAGACTTTGTATGGACAAGTATAATAAATATGGGACTCATTTATACAAAATACAGTAGATTAAAAAAAATAAGTCATATAAATGTATTAGAAATATATATGTACGTGAATAATATTTGCATTAGATAAGTTATATAGAATTGTAATAGTTTGCTGTTATGACATATTAACATTTTTCTTTGTTGTATTTCTTTCACTTTTTTGTTAAAGCACTATGTGTTTTTTTTCTTTTCAATAATAAAAAATAAATTAAAAAAAGGCATGCTTCAGGTTTCCTCAACCACATTTCATATTTAAGTTCTCAGTGTAGTTTAAAAATAATAATAATAATAATAATTATTATTATTATT